TATTTCCCGTGACTAAAACGTTAAGCTCAGCGAGGGCTCTAGGCCTTCCTTGTTGTAACCGCCGTATCCACCTATGCTTAGACAGTGCCAGGCCCCTAACTATTGCAGTGAATGTGCTAAACAGCTGGGGTGAGAAAGGCCGCCATAGTCAGGAACGATTTCTTAGCGCGGACAGGATGGAGGGAGAGGAGAAAGCTAAGGGAGATGGACTGAGGTGGAAAAGGTGCACCAAGGCGAGATCGGGCGCGGTCCAGCAGGCCTTGAAAGAACACTCGAGGCCGGGCAAAACCGTCTCCGCTCCCTTGCCCCAGACAGGCTCCAGCCCCCTCGGATGCTCCTTACGCCCCAGAGGTGCTCCCGCCGCCGGCTAGCAGCGACCCCGCGGAGCTCTTCGCGGAGGTCTGGGCGTCCCATTCCGTGCCCCCACAGCCCCCATCACAGCCGGCACCCAGCAAGCGGAGCTCCCCGCTGGGTCCCAATATCCCTTTTGCCCACCTTTCTTGTCGCGCTTGGACTTGGGCATCGCTCTGCGGACACGTGCGGAGGAAGGCGGTGTTGCCTGTTAGGACCCCGGCGGCGCGGGGGCCTCTGGGACCGCCCTCGGGAGCTGTCCTCGACGGTGCCTGACCCAATCTGCGCTGCGTCCGGCCTCTCTCCGGCGGCCGCCACCTGCGCTCTTCCCCACGTCTCCAGGGCCACTTGTCACGCGTCCGGGGATCCCCCCCGAGTCCTGCGCGCCCCACCGAGGGCTTTGCGCGTGGTCCCAACTCGCTGGTTCCGCGGATACAGCGCCTGCGGCGCGGTGCATGCCGGGCCGGCGGCGGGCGGGGCCCGGGCTCCCATCATGGCGGTGGCGGCGGCTTCCCGAGTCTGGCTCTGGGCTGCCCTGCTTGTCCCTGCTGCTGCGGTCTACGAAGACCAAGTGGGCAAGTTTGATTGGTGCGTACGTGCGCGCGCCCCTACGGGAAAGATGTGGCTATTTCCCCGGTCCCTGTCTTCTCCTTGCTGAAGGGAGGGGGTTATCAGGCAGCAGGACCCGCTAGGCTACAGAGCTTGCGGGGCCCAGTGCCAAAAGAAAGTGTGGGACCCCTGATCAGAAGTGAAGTTTTAAGGGGGTGACAGCAGAGCCTTAAACCAAACGTTGGGGGTGCCTCTGAGCCGCCCCGCGTGACTGTACAGGTCGCAGGCCGGTGACATTGCCGCGCGCGTGGGGTTCGGGTCGGAGATCGCCGTCCCCTCCTCCCGGTCGGGCCGCTTCTCCGTGACTGTCGGGCTTCTGATCTGCGCGCCAGAGGCCGACGGCCCGCAGTGAACTCTCATGCCTCCTCGGACTGGCATCTCGAGCATGTGAACAGGACGTTGGGTGTTGTTATAAGTCCTATACTGAGCCCTCTTTCCTCTCCCTTCCAGCCCAGCCCAGCTCTGGCCCCTGAAGAGGCCCGAGCAAGTCTCACATCTGCCAGGAGGTGCCATTCCTGGAGATGCGGTTCACTCGCCCCCCTCCTCATACCCCTCCTTTTTCTTTAAGGCCCTGGATTCCGATTGTTTTTGTTTGAATCTCAGTTTTGCCATTTAAGGGTTGTGTGATCTTGGGAAAGTGACTTAGCCACTCTGTGCCCTGTGTTCTTTATCTGTAAAGTGGTTTACTAATACTAATCCATCACCTCCTCCAGCAGTTGTAAGGATGGAGGAGATCATTTCCTTAAATTAGCACAATGCTTGGCTCATTGGGTGTGATCAGTAAATGTTGCCCATTATTATTACTATTCAGGGAACATTTCAACCTTCAGAGCCCAGCTCAGATATCTCCTCTATGAAGTCTTTTCTGTATCAGGCAAAGTAACTCACCTATTTGTTGAGTGCCTGTAGTGGGTCAGTGGTGGTTCTGGGTGCTGTGGATACGGAGATGTGAAGGAGCTCATGGGGCAGATATACAGTAAGTCTTCACTTAACATCATCAGTACATTCTGCAATTTTAAACAGAACAACATACATCAAGACCAGTTTTCTCATAGGCCAATTGATATAAGCAAGAGTTAAGTCCCTACGGCAAATTGTTAAATTGGAATGATGTTATTGGGGGACCTGCTGTGTGATATAAGAAGGCTTGACAAATGCAACATAATGACATTTTTTTAAAGACAGGGCAAACACTCATAATACAATATGTTTGATTCCAATTTAGCAGAATACTAGGCATATGCAATTTACAAGTTGAAAAATAAACAGAAGGAAATATACCAAAACATTAGTAAGTTTATGGTGGTTATTTGGGGGCATTTCTTATTTTCTTTTTAATACTTCTATGTATTTTTCACATTTCTACAATGAGCAGGCATTCTTTTTATAGTCCAGATAACAGTATTTTAAAAGAGAGCATGGAATTTAGAGTCAGAAGGCCTTAGTTTTGCATTCTAGTTCTGACAGTAATTAGATGACTTCAGTGGACTTTGATTTACTTACCTGTAAAATGAGAGTAATAATTGTCCCACGTACTTCATGGAGTGTTCGTTGGATACAGTGAGAATAAAGTATGTGGAAATACTGGTAGAAACTGTCAAATGTAATATAAGCCTCTCTCCACTACCAGCTTAGTTTCTTCTTAAAACAAAAAAAATTAGACCAAATCATGACAAGATAAATTCAGTGTAAGCATCATATGCGATTAATTTGCTGGAGAGTGCAGTACTTTTTTTTATTGCTGACACTATTACAGATATTTCCCATTTCCCCTGTCTTTGCCCACATTCACCCAGCCCCCATCACTCTTCCCCTGGCCTTCACCACTCTGTCGGAGAATGTAGTACTTTTTCATTAACAGCAATGTGCAGGCACCTCCTGTGTACTTGGTAGTCTGCCATACGAAGCTAGTTACATTCTCTTTATGCTTAGGTCAGAGTGTTGAAAGTGATGAGATATGTATAGTCCCAAGAAGGTATGAGTAGTGGGTCAAATGGATCCTGAACATGGTGCAGGCTAGAAAAGACTGTAGAGCACAAAGGAGTTTTGTTGGGAAAGTTTGCATAACTTTTTTCTCCAGAGGTCAGTGAAAGTAGAAGGGAAAGTTGGATTGTATGTTCATGGACAACAGGGTTTGTGTCTCTTCTCTCATGTGTGGTGTGAGTGCCTAATCCCACTATGAATGAGTACAGAGAGGACTGTAATGTTTGTTCCAGTGGGATTTAGGCCAGGTGCTCTTTTGGGTGTCGCTTATCTTGAGATAAATATGTGCTTACATTTAGAAGGAAGGCTTGTATTTCTCATCTCTTAGGTATTTTCTTGTTCCCTTTGCTTCTGACTACATTGCATAGAAATCTTGCGTTAGTTCAACTCTCCCATTAACAAACATTTCTCCTACATCCTAAGATAGGTACCGACAGTGATAACCTGTGTTTGTGCAGTTGTCTTTTTCCAAAGCATTTTGTGCAGTGATGGTTTTGGCTGCTCACATTTCCCTTTTCTTTAGGAGACAGCAGTATGTTGGGAAGCTCAAATTTGCCTCCTTGGAATTTTCCCCTGGATCCAAGAAGTTGGTTGTGGCCACAGAGAAGAATGTGATTGCAGCATTAAATTCTCGGACTGGGGAGATCTGTGAGTGAATTGTGTAGGGTGGTTAGCTTGGGGTGGAATGGCTGACCATAGTGTATCCAGAATGGTCTGTGGCTTGGGAAGTCTGGCTGGTTCCCAGATTAGGGACAAGTTGGCCAAAAGATGCATCTCTTACTGGATTCTAACATTTTTTTTTAGTCTTTGTCATTTAATATATTCCTGTAATTGGCCTTTGTTTTTTCCCTGAGCCCAAATCCTGAGTATTTTTTTTTAAACATATCTTTATTGATTTCAGAGAGAGGAAAGGAGGGGGAGAGAGAGAGATAGAAACATCAATGATGAGAGAGTCATTGATCGGCTGCCTAGCCCGCACCCTGGGCATGTGCCCTGACTGGGAATCGAACCCTTATCTCCTGGATCCTAGGTTGATGCTCAACTGCTGAGCCACACCTGGCCGGGCATCCTGAGTATTTTTAAATTAGATATTGCTGCAAAAAAACACATTACTCTATTTTGCACTAAAGGTTTGGATTGTCCCCCTACCAGTTACTTGTACTGCTTTTATGGATGTTTTTAGGCACTAAAATCATGGATATGTAATTTGTAACCACTATTTTTTTTGCGAATCACATGGATTTTGTTAATTTTGTCATTGTTCATTTGCATGTTTGGTGGGTGGTAGCAGAGGTGGGAAGTGCAGAGACCTTAGACTGGGGCAGTAGCGGCTCCTCTCAGTCCCTCCTCCCCCCATTACCCAGTGAGTGGAGTGGATCATTGCCATTTCACTATAGTCCTTCCCTCCCTTGAAATAAAATTGGGCACCGCTATGCAAACGCAGACCTCTTTTGTTTTCTCCCACCTGTCTTCTTTCTTGGATGCCTCTCTTTATCTTGTAGTAATGTCTGGCTCTCATGTCCCTCAGTGTGGCGCCATGTTGACAAGGGCACAGCGGAAGGGGCAGTGGATGCCATGCTGCTGTACGGACAGGGTAAGCAGTCCTGCTTTGTTTCTATCATGGTGTCGGCTCCCTCTCCCCATTCCTTGGTTTCTCCCTTGCACAGGGTCTGGTAGGGAAAGAAGAAGAAGTATTCCCCACAAGAAAGAACAGGTATGCACATAGTTCTTATTTGCACTCATGTATCAGAGGTGAGGCTACCTTTGACAGGCCCTAGGTGGCTACAGAGCTCCAGTTTGGGAGATGATGTCACTATGGACTTTTCTTTTCCAGATGCAATCACTGTGTCCAGTGGAGGCCGGATCATGCGTTCCTGGGAGACTAACATAGGGGGCCTCAACTGGGAGATTACCTTGGACAGTGGCAGGTAGAGGGGGAGAAGCTATATTTCATCTGGGCTTGGTTCAGGGCTTTGCTGGAACACAGATCTGCATGGACAGCAACTCTGGGCCTTTTGGCTTTTTCCCAGGGACAACTACAGAGCCAATGAGCATTAAACACCCAATTTTTGATGTTTTTTTTGTTTGTGTATATTTTTAAGAAAATATATCTTTATTGATTTCAGAGAGAGGAAGGGAGAGGGAGAGAGAGAGAGATAGAAACATCAATGATGAGAGAGTCATGGATTGGCTGCCTCCTGCATACCCCCCACTGGGGATGGAGCCTGCAACCTGGACATGTGCCCTGACTGGGAATCAAACCTTGATTTCCTGGATCCTAGGTCGATGCTCAACTGCTGAGCCTCGCAGGCCGGGCAAACCCACTATCTTTTGGTGTATGGGATGATGCTCCAGCCAATTGAGCCACACCAGCCAGGGCTTGATATTTTTGAGGTTATGGAACACATGTGTTTCCTCAGCCAGCATTTATTGAGCACCTGTCAGATGCAGAGCTTTGAGCTAGATGCAGTGTTTACTGTACTTAACTGCTTTTCCTAGTCTTACCATGACTTGAGAGCTTTGCAGTGTTGTAGATACAATGACATAATATAAAGTTTTCAGTATTTTAATTCTGTTTAGAGAACAGCTCAAAGCACTGTTACATCCTGGCTAAAGTCTAGATGATAAGGTCATTTGCATTAGCCTATACA